GGGAAGGGTAAAAGATTCGCCAGCCAACTGCTTCCCTTGCTTATTTTTCCTTTTCTTCTCTAAACCAACATTCTCTATAAATAAGTGTTAAATGAAAAGCCTGAAATGCAAACATGTTAGAAAAAGTCCACTCAGTTTTGCAAATAACCCTAAAGAGCGAGCGAACTTGAAAAAAAAAACAAAACTATGATAACAGAACAGCTTTCAGATTAGCACGGAAACACTTTCGCAAACTCAAGCTCGCTGACCCCTACAACACCTTGCTCAGAAGTAAGTGGATAATTAATTTTGCAGCTGGAAACCTGTCACACGAGCGAGGAAGTGATTTTTCTCAAGTTCATACAATTCAGTGGCAGGGCTCAAAAAGCCGTTGCGGGAAAGATCGGCCTGTGGGTGAAGAGCCTCGTGTGCTTACAGATACCACCTGCTCACGAAGTGTGTAAAGGCAGGGCCCACAGTGGCACAGTATTGCCACAACGGTCCTGGTGTGTTTTACGATCTTTGGAGGACACGAAGCTTAAAGTGTGCACAGAAGAGCAGGAGGAGGGGGCTGTGCTGGCCTCCAAGGAAATTCAGGCCATAGGAGCCAGGAACCAGGGGTTCAGGCAAGGCAGGAGGGAGAGGCTGGTCCTGCGTCCCAGAAAGCACCTGAAATTAGGTTCCACAACAATGAGGCCACAACGCCCTTTGGGGAGGGTGTGCATAATCCTCACAGCTAAACAAAATCTTCTTGAAATAAAGCTTTAGACTGACACGTCATCAATTAGCCCCAAGACATGAGAAAGAGAGAGGGCGCCACCGTCTTCTGTGGATGACCCGGCTCCACTTCTCTGAAGCCATTCCTAGATTTTCTTGAGCTTCGTGGTGAAATATCTATTTAAAAATCTCCTAAAATTACCTATACTCTAAAAAACAGTCATATGCAACAGAGCATAGCTTTGTGTTATTGGAGATTTGGGGGAATGAAAATCACCAATAAAGTAAGAATCAATAGTACTCACAGCTCCAGGAGAATGGAAAGCCACTAGGGCCTGAGCTCTCTTAGGGACCTACCCAACAGTTTACAGTGAATTAACTTCATTTTCTCATTTTAAAAAGCTGAATGTAGCCTAGAAGGCATTGAAGTTATTTCCCGAACGTTCTTCCAACTACATGGGGTTTTTTCCTCTTTTGCCTTTCTTTGAGAGCTTATATAGACGATTTTACAGTGCATACTTGGAAAATTCATAGACTTTAATTGATATACTAACTTATTAAATATTTTACTTCAAGCCAAAATTACGCATGTCTATTAGAAGAAAAGAGTCTTTAAAATAGAGGTTGTTCGGTGCCAACTGCAATATTTTTAAATCAGAGGTACCTCTTTGCATACTGGTGTAATGGGCAGCAATGGACAGGGAAGGTTAAAATACAAAAAATGTAATTTTTTTTTTTTTAATGAAAGGGAATAATGACACAGGTACAAATATCTTACCGTAAATAAGCTGTCCTAAGCAAAAAAGAGAGAGAGAGAGAAAGAAAAAAAGCACACCTAGAAAAAGCAGTTTTGTAACTGTCTCAATTCAGAGAAGAAAATGTCCAGTGGCACTAGATAAAAAGGAATCACATTTTCAATAGCATCCGCCGCGAAGCTCCGTGCTTGAAATTCGGCTGACGGTCTGTCGCTTTAAGGGAGAGTGGGGCGCCCTGCACAGTGACAGTGGGAGCGCCAGAGCCGAATTTTATTCGAAACATGCGCACCCTCCCATGAGCTATATGTACATTTTTGCGATCAACTTTTTTTTAAATCCTCTGCCATCCATTTCTTGTTTGCATAACTTTGAAGGCAGCAAAAACTTTTTGACCGTGGGGGAAAGAAACAACCATGAAGATTCTAAGAGAAGAAACGAGTCGTCCCTGTGAGCAAAAACCAGCTTATGATGTTCCTGGAGCAGCTTTTTGCAGTTGCTACATTAGAAAAAAAAATAAAAATGGTAGGATAGGATTTACATGTGAGCCCTTGAAACAGATCCACTGGGAGATGGAGGTGTCTGCCAGGGCCAGGCTCTAGGGCAATAAAGCCACAGCTCCTCGGAGAGCCTGGCCATTGGGGAGCACGGCCGATGAGAGGGGGAGGCTGCGGGGAGGGAGCCGGCAGAGCCCCCCACTCAGGCCCCGGCTCAGCAGCCCGCCTGCAGCGGCTGAAGCGAAGAAATTAGAGGACCGTCACCTCTGGTCCCTCTGACCCCTGATCGGGCCGGGAAAGAGACATTCTCCCACAGGCTCTTATTCCAAAGTGACTGTCACATACTGCGATTGTGATCTGTTTCTCAAGAACCACATGAGGATGGAGAAAGAGGCCCCAATATCTCCCTACATTTGGTCCAAAATTGAAATTAATAATTATAACGAATTGCAATTCATTTCAATATTTCACACTGACAAGACGTGAGAAATATCCATCTTTTAATAACTTGTCGTTTAGAAATTAAAAATGAACTTTCTGTTGGGAAAAAAAAAAAATAGCGACTATGTAAATAGAGAATACACTGCTTTCCCCTAACATCATCTAAAACCTCAAATCTCTGCGGAAGGCTCCCATTTCACTTTTATGTGCGCTTCTTTAAAAGCTATTTTGTATTTCATGTGGTTCAAGGGAAGCTATGAACATTTCTCGTTGCCGCACAAAGAAGTTAGCTGGTAAACGATTTCTTGGAACGCCCCCAATATGGTTATGGAATGTC